ATGACTTTTAACGAGACTGTTGATATCCTTGTTTCATCAACTTGTTTGTCAATAGCTTGCCTCGTTTTCGAAATTGTTCATATGTAGAGGATGCTCTTGCATTTCGAATCAACTGAGAGACATAAACTCCATATGCAGGTGATAAGGATATATTGCCACATAAGTAAGGGAAGTTGACGATTGAAAAGTTGAATTCAACACGTTTATCATAAAGCTTTGTTGTTAGGTAACCATTAAGTTCTTTTTTAGTGAAATATCTAAATATGAAACTGATGTGTCAGAATCTGTTTTGTCTTTTATTTCAAGCTCACCGGGATATATCGAGTCGACATATGAATGAAAGTATCTATTGTTAATTGATAATATGTCGTCGATATATCGAAATGTCGAGTTGAAGGCCAAGACAAGTGTTTTCTTCTTCTCATGAAGAAGTTTTTGAATAAATTCTGCTTCATATAAATACAAAAATAGGTCTGCTAATAAGGGGGCGCAATTGGTACCATGGGAATTCCAACAGATTGTTGGAAGACCTGATCTCCAAAAACTACATAGATATTGTCAATCAGAAACTCAAGCATCTTTTTAATATCAACTTCAGAGTACTTGTGTGTACAATCAGGGTGCTTTTAACAAAATAATTTTGTAAATGACCAACAACAACGTAAGTATATTTACGAGTTCCATTTTTATTGAAAAAGCAGCTGTCTGTGATGTCAAAAAGAATAATAACTTAAATGTAGACAATAGATATGTAACTTTTTTTCAAGAACATGTTGAACAGTCTTAATGCTATAACAGATTCATTCTCAAAAGTTTGATCAATATTCAATATCTTTAAAAATGGATGTAGTTCTTATTAGTAAATTATGATTATTCTATTCATTACAAAATTTAAAACCTCAGATTTCGTTCGAAAAAAAATAGATTGAAGTGCAGTTTAGCAATATGATCGAATATCCTAGCTTTATTTCGAATCAAAACATTGCGTGAACATAAGCAGGACATGCAATAAATTAAATTACCTTACCACTTAAAGAAAACACTGAATAACAGGGAAAGTGTTTTTTCGTACACGTGCATCAAACATAATTAATGGACATTGTAAAACATTGAGGTGACTACAGTGTTATTTGTTTCCCAGTAATGAAATGTGAAGATAATGAACAGTAATCGTGCTCAAACGTCCAGTTAAACAATTCAAATTGAGTGCAGAACAGGGACCTTTAAACACATCAGGTGGGATCGGGTGCCATGTAGGAGTAAGCATCTCCTGTCGACCCGCTGTGAGCCCTTTGTTTTGGTCGGGTGAACGGAGTTATCCGTAGAGAGATCAGTATGAAAATATTTTTAGTAAATATTTAATATAAATATATCTAACGGCATGCAAACAAAGTAATTTTATCGGTTATAGAATTTGCAAAATGTTTTTGAATTTAAACGAGATTGTTGGTACCCTTGTAAGACCAACTTATTTGTCAATAGCTTGCCTCCGTTTAGAAATTATTCTTTCATAGAACATACTCTTGCGTATCGAATCATTTGGGAAATATGAACAACATAGGCTGGTGATACATGCAATGGTATATTGCTACGAAATTAGGGAAGTTAACAATAGAGAATTTGAAGTCATTATGTCATTAAAGAGTTTATTTGTTAGTTTGCCACCAATTACTTTCTCTAGTAAAGCATCAAAATATGAAACAGATGTGTCAGACTCTGTAGTGTCTTATTCGAGTTCAGTGAGGTATATCGAATAAACGTATGAAAGAAAATGAATATTGCTATCAATACAAATGTATATCTAAATGTTGAATTGAAGACCACAGCATATGAATTATTAATGCAGCTTAAGATTTTTGAGAAATTAAATTTCTCTCGTAAATTTTATTTTCAACAGTGGACATGGCCTCTCTGATTTTTTAAAGTCTTACTTTCTGTAAGCCCCACATGTATAAGCGATTTTTCAAACCTGAATAAAATCGACACTTAAATTAAAAAAAAAATAGAACAAAAATTAAACAGTAAGATAAATACTGAAATAATTGACTAATATGCATTATTCATATGTTTTTTTACGATTCAAAGCATCTCGTCTTCATGTCATCGTTCAGAAAGGGGAACAAAAGTGTTTTATTAATTTGTTGTGCTGAAGATTAATAGAAAAATGGTCTTTTTAAAATGAAGATGGCAAGTAAAACGAGAAACTTTGCTGTTGCAAGCAAAAATACATGTGTATGTCACACTGAATTGTTACCAACGGTGTAATATTGGAGTTGAAAGCAATATGCAACTTCTATTTTGAAATTTTGCAAAGTTTTAACTTTTTCAGAAATACGTCCTTTCTTCCAGGCAACAGCAGCTGTTTTGGAAATTCTAAAACCAAGAAAAAATTACACATAATTATTGTGCAGCTTGAAAAATCTTTAGACGAAAAATCAAATTTAAAAGAAATTTACCCCTTTTTGTTTCCATGGCAATAGTGTAAAATGTTCGTCCAATCGATTTCATTTAAAAAAGATTATTGTTATATTTTATTATTCATTATTTTTTTTTTTCTTTCAAAATATAATTTGAAACAATAACAATATGGCCCCCGGCCATCCTTCAGAATTTCACAATAAAAAATAAATCTTTTAAGAGAAGTTTTTATTATTTTGATAATTAAAAGCCTAAAGATGAACATGCTACAAGGTTGAATTATTCAGTAAATAAAATTGAGAAAGGGTGGGATGGAGGAAATTACTGCACATATCTTATGATTACTGACATTAACCGAGTCCGTAATGATGATTTAATGAGATTTAGTGAGAACAATTAATTAGAATTATGAAAAATTAAATATTTTGTAATTAAACACCAGTGAGGTTTCGAAATTTGACAAGTAATAAACTATTTATTTGATTTTGACTTTGGGAATTATATCTGGCATAAAAGCTTTACTTTGTATTCTTTGATATATTAAATACCACACGACTGCGATTATAAAGCATTCCAAATATCAAATTAGCCAATGGATAAGATTAGCTTCTTTTCCTGTCGCACACATTTCTTTCTTTTCTCCTGGTCTCTGCCACATTCAGTTTAATTTTGCCAATTTTCTTTTTATGACTATAGGGAGAAAAAATGCGTTGTGGATTTAAGCACAGATCATGAAATATTCACGACATAACCGTTAGCACGAACTTTTAGCCTGTATTTGACAATAAATCGTAATGTCACTACGTATACGTATTTTCTCATATAGTAATAGCGTCCTATTAGTGATACGTCCTTGACCACAGAGGCACATATCACTAGGAAATAATAAAGAGTTTGTGTAGCAAAGCTCTCCAGGGAAATACGGCAAAAAAGAAATACTCGTATATGCTAGTCATCTTTGAGTTAAATCAACATTAATTTCCAGGCATCTGTCGCATCTGTAAACCTTCTGCGAGTAAAATGTGGAATAATTGACAAACACGTGAACTAACTCGTGTATACTGTGCTGGTAGCGTACCTGAAACTGGAACTATTTTCGAATGGAGCAGATTCCCACTTTGGGAGATGCCATGATTGTAGATCTTTATTTCTGTCAAAATTGAAAGTGTTATCTTTTCTGACAATGTTTTTTTAAAGAAGATGGGTGAACAAGGCGTGCAGAATGCCTATAGCTTCAGATATTGATAAAATCATATTCAATTTGTGAATTAAGTATTTAAAATAAAGTTCTCATTATTGAAATTTATGAAATTATGATTAACAAAACTTTCCTGAGAAAAAAGATCTCGGAAAAAATTATTCTTTTATTAAAAAAAAATAAAATGGTATTCGTGGGATTCGAACCCCTATCAATAAAAATCCGGAGTATCGTATTGTTTTGAGACTAACACGCTAACCACTACGTCACGCAGCTCCTGACGAATAGTGGCATTTAAATCATGTTTGTGATATGACCCTTTACTTAATGGACTTCAAGTATTTCTCGGAAAGATGCGAATGCTTTGTCATAAAAGTGTACTTTTAAGGTATAGTGGGTCTTTTCTCCATGTTTTTGTAAACCAAAAAATGTATATTTTTATGCAAACTTTTAGGATCAACTTTCAAAAAAATGGAGCGAAGACCCACTCATATCGAAAAATTTTGTTAAAGTGTGAGAAAATGATCCTTTTTGTCCTCTTTAGTGTGTGTATGCTATTTCGTAGGCAAATAATTTCAGTCTTTGTGAGATTTTTGTAAATTGTAGAGATTTAGCATAAAATATACTTTAATGCTAGATGAAATATCAAAGAAATTTTTTATATAATTGAGATTTTATTTTTCACTTCATGTTTGTCGCACTATAGGCACTTCGCCCGCCTTGTTCACCCATCTTCTTAAATTTCATGTAGAAAAGTACCGATATGCTCTTCTGTAAATATACAATATTCGCAGCGACGCTGCTAAATAATTAAGGACAGGATATCTTTTAAAAAAGAAAAAAAAGTGTTTTTTCCATAGTGTCTTTCCTTTCGGTCAATTCATGTCCAATTTATCCACACACACACACACTATTAGGAAATTTGGGTTAATTTTCACTTTATTTGATATTTTTAGAGACATTATTTTGTTATTTTTTACGCAAATGTTTAAGAAATGTGTTTATTAGACAGAATGTTTAACTTTTCCTTCTTGAAAAAAAATCCTCAATGTGCAGGTTGTGACAATTACACTGTATTAAACCAAATTTAAAATTATGGCTTATTAAGGAAAAATATAGTACATTCATATTGCAATGAACTTGACAAAATTCAAAGACGAAGATATATACTTTTTTCGTGTTTTACAAACAGACAAACAGTCAATGCTTGATACTTTATGTAGTGTAAATTCGAGGAAATTGGTTACACAATATATACATTAATAAATATAAGAAATATGAAACCAATCATTGAGAGCATTGAATGAGTATGAATTATTTTTTTGTTTGTTTTTTGTTATAGTGAGTAACCATCAATAAGTTCATTATCCTTTTTTTCTTTCAGAGATCAAGATCTGCAAAATCAAAAGCAGAATCACCAAAATTATTTGTCGATACAGAATTTCTTGCCAACGATTCTTCGATCTTCAAAAACAAACAAGTAACCAAACAAGTTGTTTGGAAGCGACCATCAGTAAGTAAGATATCGAACCTGTATAAATTTACACTGTACTAGAAATTCTCACCCTTGACTCACCTTTCATCAATCTCTGTTTAGATCTGATGTGCAATTTATACATGTACATGTAAATACAATTGAATGAAAACAAACCCGTGATTTAGATGCATGTATCTTATTTTTGTTTTAAATTAGAATTTGTATTGCTTTGATGAGAATTTAAAAAAAATCTACCCATGAATAAGGCCACAAATGTTACAAGATTAAAAGAATATAGGCGATTCATACACTATGTTTGTTAGAAACAAAACTAGAAATCAGATTATAAGATTTTAAAATATTTTTTTTTCCCAAAGGAAATACGACCAAACCCAGTTCTAATTTCTGATGGTACGAGTCGTCATGACATGAAACAAGGCGAGCTCAACAACTGTTGGTTTCTCTCCACGCTATCCGCCATTGCTGAGAAACCGGAACTAATAAGCAAGGTACGTACATGTACACACAATTGCCATAATAGAACAAGCATTCTGAGAGTATTGCATTAGCAATACTAGTCCCCTACCGGAAAGTGTAATCTGGTTTCCGTTAAAAATTGAAAATGCCATAATTACGTCAAAAATCAATGAAGCGGAACAAAATTCAAACTTGATCTGTAACTCATCAAGGTAAAATCACATACCAAAAATCAGCTTAATATCTGCAAGCGTTTAGAAAAAAATGCGGAAAACCCTGAATAATTGAAAAGGTCGTAATTCCGTCAAAGATCATTGAAGCGGAACGAAATGCAAACTTGATCTGTAACTCACATACCAAAAATCAGCTCAATATCTACAAGCGTTTAGAAAAAAGTGCGGAAAACTACGTGGGACAGACTGACAGACAGACAGGGGAACAGACAGACAGACGGACGGACAGACTCAGAGGAAACCTATAGTCCCCTCCGGTTTCACCGGTAGGGGACTAATAAAAGTCTAGAAACTATAATAGGTTTAAATTGGTCTTTCCTTTCATTCATTCTGTGAAGTATTTTAAATTCTTTTATTAGAGAGATCAACATTTTCAAAATTAAAAATTTACGTGACTTATTAATATTTATAAACAAATTAAGTACAAAGCCGCCATATTGTTACATTCTTAGTTTAAGGACATGTGTACCGTACAATAAATAGTATAACGTTTTATTGATTTTGGACATTTATGTTTTATCTTGATACAGGCTGACACAACAAAGCAGCATATTTTTCTCAATATATAATGCCAATTAGCTACATTTTAACAGATAATTAATTTTAATGATTGGCTTTTTCGTGAGTTTTAATATCTTTATCAATAGACCTTCAGAAAACTAAAATCTGACCTGAGTTCTCCTAATGGAAATCTTTACTGTCGCCATCAATATATATGGAAATTACTACAGCTTCATTCTGATTGTTGACTAGTAATTCTATTCCTACTAAATTCACCACAAACTGCAGGGTAGCGGTACGCGATCGTTATTCAGTGGCAAAGTTTCGATTTTTATATTCGATATCATTCTCAGCGGTTTGGTGTTGGTTTAAACACTCAAAAAACAACGTTTCACAAATGTTTACCTTGTCAGTCTAATGGCTGTATTGATGTGTGTCTAAAAGCATTGGGTTAATCTAAAAGTAATTAAGGAAATATTGCGCAATAGAATCGCCAAAAGGAAATGGATAAAACTGCAAATGCCGGGCTAATGAATATTTTGGATTAATTGTTGACAGAATTAGTTTATGAATGCATGTTCATGTTTTATTGAGGAAGTTGAAAGAAAACTAAAAGATAAATCTATCTTTTGAAACGCAAACAACAAAGGATGCCAATAGAAAGGCTCTTTTATTTCCCTCTCTTTACATTCTTTCACAATATGAATAAGTTCACTTTGATTTCTGAACATTCATAAGAAAGAATTAACAATCATCTGAATCTTCAAAGAATCATCCATGAAGTCATATCCAAAAGAAAACTTTTCAAAATTTAGAAAACATACATGATTTTCCGCAGGAATCAAAGAATATATTTTGGTGGCTAATACACTGTAGCTTCATGCATTGCCATCATTACATAATTTATATCCTTTTTTTAATTATTTGATAGATCATCCCGAGTGACAACACATTCGGAACACCTTTTTATGATGGAAAATTTCATTGCCGCTTCTGGCAATTTGGCAAATGGGTGGATGTATATATTGACGATCTTCTTCCTACTGTTAATGACGAAATTCTGTTTGCTCACTCATCCGACCCCGATGAATTCTGGGTCTCTTTGGTAGAAAAAGCTTACGCAAAGTAAGTCTGTCTGTTTTATTCTGGATTTGACATAAAATAACTCGAGTTAGTAATAGAATGTTCGTTATTTGAGAACTGAAAGCTTTATTTTTGGTAGATAGAGTGATAGTCAATGCAAAACTAGGTTTTGCAGAAAAGTGTACAAAAACGAACAGTTGAAACATTTTAGAATTGTTATCCATAGTTCTACATTTTACCAAACATTCAATTGCACTAGGAAGGAAAGACAATGCTGACCAATGGATTCAAAGTACAAATAACGAGAAAAATATCTTCTGCAAGACTTTGTAAAAAAAAAAAAATAAATAAAAATCCTATGCTTGATATTGATATTTGAAAGGATCTTTCTTTAACAATTTACAGACTAAACAAGTCATACGAGGCACTGGAATACGGTTTCGAGGCTGATGCTTTCACAGACCTGACAGGAGGTCTTGCAGAGTGGTACAATCCTGCAGAACTTAAAGAACATGATTTTTACCTCATAAGAGCTGCTTATCAATGCGGAGCTGTGATTGGTTGTTTGAGTGTTGTAAGTTTAATGTATATATATTTCACATAGTAAGATTGTACCGATATAAAAAAAAAGTCAAATTTTTAAATTTCACGTATTTTTATAACCAAAAAAAAAAAAAAAAAAAAAAAAAAAAAAAAGAACAATAGACTAGAAGTAGGACTCTTTTTCCCTGAACTTATTTCATATGTTAAATAGATATACACGGAAGAATATGATTTATTTATTTGTTGTTAGATAAAGTTGCTTGAAAGACAAATGTTCTTAGTTTATAAAGAAAACGATTAAACTAAGCTTATTTGATTTTGCAGGATAAAGAGGATCGTGATGAAAGAGAAAAGCGAGGTATGGTATCAAACCATTCATACGTGATTACTGCTGTGGAAGAAATCCCGTACAAATCAGGGACAGCAAAATTGATACGAGTCCGAAACCCTTGGGGTGATACTGAATGGAATGGCGCTTGGGGAGATGGGTAAGTTTGTTTTCTAGTTCGAAGAAAGCGTAGTAATTACAACCTAAAATATGCGTAAAGTATGATAGCGTCACATTAAACAAAACTTAGAATATACATAAATATTATTTAATTCATGTAAAGGAGTGAAGAATGGGGTCATGTGACAAACGACGTTAAAGATCAGCTGGAACTACTTTCACGCGACGATGGCGAATTCTGGATGAACTACAACGACTTTCGGCGGGAGTATTGCAATATGATTGTGTGTAATTTGTCGCCGGATTTTGATCATGATGGAATAAGTGACAGAGCAGGTAATTAATCATAACAAATTTCTAGATACTACTAAACACAAGTTGATTCTTGGAATTCACACACACACACGCGCACCCTCTCTCTCTCTCTCTCTCACACACACACTGAAGATCTGCATAATGTATTTCATACTTGCTTTAAAATACCATGATTTGAAAATTATTTATTTAAAATTTATCGCGGTGTGCAATTAAAGAAGAATATTTAAAAATAATGATCTAGTTTTTAAGGTTCATAAGTCCTGAGGGCATATATACGTTTGAGCAGTCATTGCAATTCAGTTAAATGCCGAAACCATTACATAAGCTGCATGTACCAAGTGCTTAGGTGTATATTTTAACCCTCCACCATCACCCAATCCCCATCTCCTTCCTTTCACACACACACACAAGCACACCGAAAAAAAACTCTAAACTGGAATTTCTAAAATTTACATTTTAAACTTTGAGAAATGTTCCTTTTGTCAACATTAACTTAATATCATGCACTGTCATTTTTTTTTACATGTACTTATAATATGTATGTATATAATGATTTGTTAAAATGCCATTGCAGAATATCAGTTAAGCTTCAAAGGTTCCTGGAAAACTGGTTTGAATGCTGGCGGATGGTTGGAATGTGACTCTTTTTACCAGAATCCTCAGTATCTCATTACTCTTCACACTGACGGTCAGCATTAGCTTATGTTCACAGTTCATATTTTAGATTTTATATTGCTTCACCGACTGGTTGTTGACACTAACATCTCTATGTCAAAAACATCTGAATGATTAAGTGATTTGAAAGCTTCAAACATTGTCTGAATGTTGTTTAACCAAAGGATAATGTGCTTATTTTTGTTCCTTTTTATATTTGTTTTCAACGCCGTTATTCAAAAGCAAACATTTGTGGTTATACACGTATACTATTATTTAACTATAATAAGATTCTGTTTTGTATAAAGGGCCAAAAATTTTCTCTTACTGCTATTAAAAATGGTTTTACCAATAACATTTAATTGATTTCAGTTATGGTCCAGAGACGTTTTAATGGACGTCTTCCATTGATTATTTCCCTTCTACAAGTATACAGAAGACATGAAAAATTAGACAGTATTGGATTATATGCAATCGGTTTCGAAATTTTTCAGGTACAATTTAAAAACATGATGTTATTTCCTTTTAATTTACCGTAAATAAAAATCGAAAGCAATGAATTAAATGAAATTTTCCTTGATACCATAGTTATATTCAAAACCTTCCGGGGCCCTTGGAAAATCGTTCTTCGACAATAATGACCCACTCATGCCAGAAAACGAGGAAACATATGCAGAATACAGAGAGACATCCGGGCGCTTTTTCCTTGATCCGGGACATTATATTCTTGTGCCAACAACGCAGATGCCAAAATTTGAAAGAGAGTACTTAATGAGACTCTTCTCTGTCTGCAAAATGGAATGCATGTAAGTCAGCTGGGAATGAGACAAGGGTATCTCATTAATTAGAATTTCAATCAATAGTTTTTTTTTTTTTTAAAATTGATCGTATGTCGATTACAATTTGATGAATCGTCTCGTTGTATTGTGTTTATGACATAAAAATTTGAACGAGAAATTACTGACAAAAATATATTTTCATCATTTCAGTCCTATTGCAAATTGCTTACCATGGACACACTGATGTTTTTCATCATCCAGTTTGCGTGTCTTCGGAGTTTCTTCTTATGCGTCACAGAGTTCACATTCCATTGATTGATGATTATGCAACATTTTCCATGTGTGTCAAAATGTTTTACCAATGTGCAATCCTAATCTGCTGTCATTTATTTTTAATTTCATGCATACTTACATCTCTGTGTCTCTGTTTAAGTCTAAAATTTATAAGAATCAAAGTTCACTCATTTCATTCATTATCTTTTCACATTACCCATATCACTATAAACAATGTAGATTATAATTCTGCCAAATTTTATCATTAAATCATTTCAAATTTCCATTGTGAGAAGTCCCGCGTCATTCTTCGTAAAAATTTAAAGCTATGCACTGAATGAGACTAATCAATAATAAAACACTTATCTAGTGATTTCACATCGACTTTGTCCCTGTGCTGGCCTATTGCTATCCATGAACGTTAATGCCTTTCGTAGTCGATTGCCATATTTATTTCTCCTAACCTTATAATTTGCAACTTAATGTTCTCTAAAACTAAGAAGAAGTTTCAACCTTTTATTTATCGTATATAAGAAATCAATGGAATTTCTGACTTATTTATGATATTAAAATATTTTAACCCAAAGTTGTCAGAAACCTAAATAATGTCCTTTATAGAGACCCTTTGTGGAAGAGTAATGACCATAAAAATTCAATGATCTATATTTCATTCAAAGTTGATTTATATGACTAAAGAGTGTGTCAAGACTCTTGTCAATAATTGTAAGAACAAGGTCAAGCGGATAAAATGTACCTACAATCACCGAGTTTTAAAATGATGAATTCGGGCAATGTTTATGTAGTCACCATAAACACATTTGTTTATTATTAAATTTGGAAAAACTGATAACCTGTAAAATATATACAGTGATGGGTACTGTTTTTTTAAAGAATATAATTGATAATAATTGATAACCGTTGAATATACCTTAATACTATATGCATGCTCCAAACACAAAAGCAATCAAAACTTAGTTTGTTTAAAATTCTTTTACGGAAAACGGTCTTGCTTCACACTGACTGTAACATTCTTTACATTTAATATATAAGTTGACATAAACGCCGTAAATATACGTATATAAGTAATATTAGATATTTTTTCTGATTGAAAGCATTTTGCTAATGTAACTAATGACAACATATAAGTTAACATAAATGACGTATGTCTGACTGCTGTGTATTTGAATACTGTGTGTTATTTGATCATTTTTAAGTCTACTTCATTGTACTCTGAAATAGAGTGCAGAAATGAAACATCAATGTCTTCTAAAAAATGAACATTCTTTGATTATATTTGTATAAATGTTTTGCTTAAATTGAATAAAAAAATTAATATAAATTGTGATGCTTTACAATTACGATTCTGTCCTAGCATAGATATATAACTTTTTCTCATTGTGAAGTCTTCAAATTCCTAATTTTCCAGGTATATACTGATTTATTTTCGCTAGCCCTGGTACATGTACGTATTGATGGTTATTATTTTACGTCTCGTCTTGGTAACACTATAGATTGCGATTTGCAGTTTATTCAGTGAATACTCAAGCAGATTTATGTCGATATGTACAACAAAGTGCCCATGTCCGTTGTGAAGAAAATAAATCGACCATTTACAGTTTGTAACCAAGAGCTTGCAGGATCCTGTAATGTTTTTTACACATCATTCACATAATTAAAAGAACAGTATTTTCAGTACATTTACTTTGTGATAAGTATTCAAAACATTAGGAAGTTATTCTTGTACAAAAGTAGGTCCTATTTATTTGTTTGAAGCAGGACAAATAATGTACATGAAAGTGGACATACTAATTCGTGTATCAATGCCCTCAACCAACGTTCTATGTTCGTTCTTACCTATAAAGGGTTTTAAAAGAAGGAGTAATGTACATGTATAAAAAACATCCGATTATTAAGCTCACCGATCATATCCCAAGTTAGGAATATCTGTTTTTATTCAACTGGTTTTTCAATATAACCATAAATCCCTTTTAATCGTAAGAGTAGACATACAAAGAGGAATAAACATAAACGGACTTTTATTATATTTTCAAAATATTGACAAATAAATCGTGTGTTCGTATTTACTGACTTTAATGTAAATGTCCACCATTTGTTTTTATATCATCTGTTGAAAGAGTAATAGAAGTATTTTCTTTAATTTGAAAGTCACATGTATACTGACGTCACGACGACTTCAACGCTTTGTAAACATATATAAAACAATTCTTGATACAAGGTCATTGCCTTTTGCAGCGCGAAATATCTTCATATAGAAGCACAGGGTTACTCTTGAAGCCTGCAGATAACTTCAGGAAACATCAGAAATCCGTAGAACATTAAATATAAAGATGAAAATTTGGTCAGGTAGTTTATATATATATGCTAGTTCACAGAATTACTTTCACGCTTCTCGGGTTTGATAATAAACAGAACCCGAAAGTGAAAGATTATAATTACATTCTTTCTGCTTTAGGTGAATTCACAAAAAAGTATAGTTGAGTCAATCGTGAAAGGAATTCTGACAGACTATAGTACGTTTACTCATATTGACTTCACTTTAAACAATATTCATAATCGGTTGTAAGACCGATGATTGCAATCGATTGCTCTTGCAGAAATGGGAGAGGAAAAAGAAATCATGTGTTAGTGTACAATTTAAATTTTCTCGTGTGGATAGAGAATTGTTCTAGAGATTCGAAATAAGGAGTTGATCGTTACGTCGAGCGTCCGAATTCGACTGCGGGACGTAAGTGAAGACCGGTCCTTCGGATGAGACCGTATAAACCGAGATCCCTTGTCGTAGTATATTTATCTACATAGATGCTGGCATGAAAAAAGATCCCTTGTCAATGACTATAAAGGTCGAGTATATGTCTGAATTTGCAGCCCTTCTCCGACAGCTGCTAGCTGTCCTACATGAGATAAAAAATTCTCCTAGGTACATAAAGCCAACAAATAAAGCAACCAACAATCAATGTCATGAATGTCTTAATTCGTGTTACAGAAGATTGGCAGTCAATTTCACTCACTGTGTAGTGAATCCGACTGAAATGTTCATACTGCTGGAGAAAATCTGACATATCACAGTTAACCTATACTACATTGTATATGTACACTTCAAAGTTCAGTTCTCACTTTAATGTTCATTTTTAACCGATGGCTTGAACGATTGTTAATCGAAAGAGGAATACTCATTTTTCTTAATTCTTTTATATGTGGCTTATTTTAACGTATGCTGATTTTTTAAAGGCATGTTCAAACAATTTTTGAAAAATAAAGTACACTTTAGATGGAAAAAGAAAAAAAACGAACTGTTTAACAAACGATCTCCTGTGAACACTGAACAGTTCAGCTCGGATGATGCCTGTAGATGAAAAATGCAACCGCAATGTTGAGGGGAGGTTACAAGAATAAATCTGAAAAAATGTGCACTGAAGGATATTAAATAAAGAGAGGTGTCAAATGATTATATTTGCATTAGACAGTGCTACAACTGCAACGAAGTATGTGTTATTAAGAGCTACCTATGACTCTTTTAATTTGTATGCACAAATTTATCTAGTGTCAGCAACGTAACTTCCGAAAAAAAAAATAATCATCGAAACCTGGAATAATCTACTCCCACCCTCATAGACGTAAAAAATGATTGATTGATTGTATGTAATTTTACGTACCATTCAAGAATTTTTCACTCATATAGAGACGTCACCATATACCAGTGAAGGGCTTCAAATCTTGACCATTACTTGTCATTCAGGGCCATTGAGCAGTGAGGGATCTTTATCGTGCCAACGCCTGCCGTGACACGAGGCCTCGGTTTTTAAGGTGCCGAGCGCATGGCGAAGGAACAGTTGCTACCTTTTTATCGACTTAGGTCAGTCGTGGTCGAAATTCGAACTCACGGCCTACCGAACACCGAGCGAGCGCTAAAAAATGATTGAAAACACATTTGATGGATATTTGGTAAGTTGTATTCGCAGCATTACAGTTAATGTAAATTGATACTAAATCATCATATTACTGTTACAAAAACGTTTTCTTTCTTGTTCAATCTTTTAAATAAATACTGCATGTAGTTGAGGATAACATTGAAAATTTTACCCCAAGAAAACCCCATTGTCAACCGAGGCGCAGCCGAGGTTGACAAAGGTTTTCTTAGGGTGGAAATTTTCAATGTTACCCGCAGCTTCATGAAGTATTTATTATAATATACTGAATGTTTTATACAAATACAAAGAAAGGTGAAGTGCGCGGCAAAGATTCCGCGCAGTCAATCTTTTTTGAAATATCATCCGTCGTCAAGTAATGTTGACTGTTGCTAAGTTCTATCACGCTGGAGGGCGTGGTTTCATCATTTAGAGGGTAACAGTGTTTTTTAACAATTGTGTCTCGACGAATCGAATTCAAGTAATTTACATGAAAGTATAATCTTCTTAAATGTTGAATGCGTCAACTAATTTGGAATTGAACTTGATCGTGTCACATGAAGAGCAGGATGATTTGTTGCATGTTTAAAAGTATAAAGGAACAAAGTATGAAGTAATTTATCTTAAATCTTATAAATAATCAAATTAAAATAATCCATTTTCCAAAGAATTAAAAAAAATATATCATCATTCATAATCACATAGTTCTTCTAGATATATTAACATACTGAGCTAATTATAATTACAGATTTAAATACCTTCTGATAGGCTTCACTGAATACAGTGTACATGTATTATAAACAATTCTGGTTGCTTGGAGGACTTTTCCCATCCAAGAAAACGATACGTTTATGGAGCTTTCGTTGATAGAAGTTCATTGAATGTTTTAATAATATTTGAAAAAATTACGGAAGTTTTGTTCCATATGTAAGTTGCTATACGCAGACCTGCTGAGAGTAATGATCTAGTTGGCACTTGACTCTTCCAGTAGCATTTTTTGCTAGGACCTAGAAGTGCATCATTGAAACTGAAGGTTTCAGAAAAGGTTTCTTTGTTGTTTTCTCTGAAAATTAAACAAAAGTAAAATCAACATTACCAAGTGTTTATTTCAACCTCCGTCAAAGAGACTATGTTTGGTAGCTTTAGCTTATAACTTTTTAAAATAAAACTCAAGAGTTTTATAAGAATATATAGCAATTAATTCCATTATGGAAGGAAAGATAATTGCGTCGCAAATAATTTCAGATTTCAATTTTTTCGTTTCAACATATTTTCATATTCAAAAAACTTTCAACACGTTGCCTCACCTCTTAAACCTTTTTAACATCAGTAATGCAAGCAATGCAAGAAACCACAGTGAAAGACCAATCAGAAAGGGTGATAAATAGACTGCATCAACTGCAACAAATAAAACAATTCATAAATAAACCTAAACGAAGTATTAAACACAAAAAGAATCAAAATCATTAATGAAATGAAGGCTTGAAACTATCTATCAAATAGAATCAATTTTTTCAGTTTCGGGAACATAATTTTTTTTTTTACAAAATGATTTGAGTAATAAGTTTATTATGCGCTTACAGTTAGAGCACTGTCTTCCATAGTACCCAGTGTCACAGTCACAAAGATAGCTATTAAGTCCATCTGTACAGACACCATGTTCGCATGGAGATCTTGCGCATTCATCATTATCTTTAGAAATATTATTTTAATAATAGCTAAACATTTTGCAAAATGAAAATTAGACTTCTAGAGAAGATAATTAAAGGAGAACAAGGTTTAAAACAAAGATGAAAATTATTATTGTTATAAAATAAATCAATTTGTAAAGTTTATTCTTTGTTTATTGTTACATTAATATATAAAAGTAATTAAATACAAAATTAAAAACTATACAATAACTATGACTCCAATTGATATATTTTTATTTATAACATGAAAATATACATTTTTTATGTTTAGAAAATTGTTTTTGCATAAGCATATAATGAGTAGGAGGGTACACACGCACCCGTTTCACAAATGACTCCAGAATATCCAGGCATACACTGACATGTGTATCCATTGACTTGGTCAGTACAATTACCGTGTATGCAAGGGGAACTGGCACATTCGTTTATATCTTAAAGAAATTGATATTTTAAAGTTCAATGATGAATGCAATAAAAGATGTTAAAGAAAGTAGGGGAAATCGTATGAGAAGAAAGATTGCAGTACAAACCTGTTCCACAAGTTATTCCTGTATATCCTGAATAACATTGACAAGTGTATCTATTTACATGGTCTGTACAGTTACCATGGGTACATGGTGAACTTTGACATTCGTCGACATCTGTAGAATAAACTCATATGTAAAAAATAAGGTTCATTTTCACCCGTTTTCTTTTCCTAGAAATCGGATAGTGTAACAGTAATAGGCCTGGATAAAAATCAAAGCAAAGTTTTCAGAACTTTACATTAGCTTTCATATTTAATAATGGGGGAATCTGCAGGAAAATTAATTAAGTGACAAATAATATGCGGTAAGACCCATGGATCATGAAACATCTTATTTTGCATAATTCAAAATTTTCTGTGTTGTACTGAAATATTGTAGAAATCAAATACATGTGCACATGTAGTCCAAAATAAAATAATTTTTCAATATTGAATCACCAAAATTCCGTTTTCTGCAAATTTAGAAATTAATTCGAAAATCAATAGACATTTTAGGCGACTGAAAAGAAGAAGGTACGATTTCATTGCCCTGTATATTTAAAATATGAAATTGTGAGAAATTAAAACCCATGCTTTCTGAATTATGCAATGTCCAATGCAGTAAGGCAATGCAATGCAATAAGATCATACAAATCGTTTTCTTATATGTCCTCTTAAATGTCTAAGAAATGTGATTTCTCTCAGATTTTTACACAAAGTATCCGAAAACTGAAATGGGCGACGGATGTGGACACTATTCCCTTAAGGAAAATAAACCCTTTAAATGAGTCATTTTGACGCTTTTTTCTGTTAAAAACTAAAAAATGTAGCAGATTAATGACGTCATATTTAAAGTAATATGCCAAATTTTTTCATGATTTATCACATTCATATATTCAACTTATATTAAAGCAATTTCAAAACTTTTTGAAAACATCAAATTTATTGGACATCATAAATCCAAAATCGTACCTTCTTCTTAGAATGAAGTCTGTTTCATTATTCTGACTCTAAATTTCTTGAACTTGACTTTTATATAATCAATGATTTTTAACAAGTTTATTAAACGATGATGATGTAAAATGTGTGTTTTTAAATAATTGACTAATTTTAAAAGCAACTTGTCAATTTGAAAATGAAAAAATACAGAAAAGACTTTTACAGCAAAAATGTTCTTACCAGTTTCACAATGCGTTCCGGAATACCCAGACAAACAATTACATACAAAGCCATTGAAATGGTCGGTGTATGTTCCGTATATACATAGAGAACTAGAACACTCATCTATGTCTGAAAAACATACGCATTCAATTGATATACACTTCAAAAAGTATCACAGAGTGAAATATGAATTGTTCTTCCAAACACTTGATGCTATTTCAATGATTTACTAGTATCTCTGGGAACTTCATGGAGTTGTTTCAAACTTGGCTCAAGGCAAAAACTCAAGACAAAAATAGAGAAAACTCTTCATTTTTAAGCATACTTATACAGTAAATATAAACTGTAACTTTAATTTAATAGTTATTATAATTCTTTTGTTTCAATTTTGCAGTAGGTTATAGAAGTAATTTATGATAAGTGTCTAATTACTATTGAGTAACATTATATTTATGTATTTTGAAACTTCAATGAAATTAGAACCATGCACCTCAGTAAAATCTTTTTAGGGACATTTTTGAAATTAGATGTGAACCAATGAAGTATACAGAGAAAATTTTAAACAAAATTCATTTAAGATCAGACATAGATTGAAAAAGCTTTAATATGTAATTAGATGATTAATTTTAAAGTTACCATTTTCACAATTGACTCCTGAGAATCCAGGATCACACCTGCATTTATAATGAAGGTATTCATTTGAACAATTTCCATGAACACAAGGAGAACTGGCACATTCATCAACAGTGTCTGTTAAAATTGATGCAAAAACAATACATGCATATTAAGTTTACATATAATCATATACACGTATAAGCATTTCAAGACACATAAATTTATGTTAGTTCGAATTGCATTTGCAAGTAATGTATCTTGGTATAAAGCATAACTTGCCTGCATTAGAAATTTTATTTTGGTCCACCCTAAATACGTACTCTCCGGGGACGCCAATGTTTGACATCTGAGGGAGATTTAACACAGAGTTTGTTCTTGATCCAGGTACCGAGTAAAAGTGTTCCATCACCAGCATTAAAGAAAATCTACATTGATACAACGTCAAGATAAACTATTTTAAGAGGTTATTAAAATATTCAATATATATATTTTTCAGTCTTTTTTAGAGTACCTGTGATGAGACTGTCCATGTTATTTTATTGTAGTTAAAACAGCAAAAGAATGGACCCCGTCAGTGATGAGAAGAAGCTGGAACGTATTTCCCTGAAAATGTTATTTATAAGATTTTTTTTTAAATAACGGAACCGAGATTGTCAAAAAAGAATTCAACCTGGTTACAGTAAATTGGGCCAGATGAATCACAGCTGTAAGATGACACATCCTCCCATGTGGCAACCAACATCCACGATGCCGAAAAAGTCGCAAGGCTTGGGAAGAGAGAACGTATTTTATTCGTTCCCTTTTGTAATGTTGTCGAGTCTGTTGTTGCACGATACCATAGATGACCTCCTTTGTTTTTATCAATGTCACACCAAAATGGTGCTATAATTCTATGAGAACCATTGATCGGGAAGGGCTCGGGAGAATATTGACTTAAAGGAGTTTGGAATGTAACGTCATCGTTATTGTTCACCTGTTAATAAAATATATCTAACGCTTAAAATTTGTTTTACCTTTGCAACCATAGATATTAATACAGTAACACTTTAGTAAAAACTTTAGGAAATAACATTATATTTCGACAATACAGCGAATGTGGCAAATAATACATATATTTTAAACAGGATGATGAAGTTTTATCAATGAGACAATTTAATTTTTGTGGGTGATCTACATGTGGGACAAAAATTCACTAAAAAATAGTATTTAAAAGCATGCATAATATAGAAAAAAAATTACAAATATGATTATTTTTTTTGGTTGCAAAAATGCTCTGTTTCCAAAATTACAATGATAGTTTATTATTTGATCATGAATTTGAATATGTATAATCTAGCCTATTGATAATGATTAAGTAGCATTTCCAATTCCAATATGATTATATCTGGTATACTTTTTTTTCCCTAATATTTCAATTTAAATACGTGACATGATCACATAAAAGCATTAACATTGCTCAATCAATAATATACTTTATTTATTTCAATAAGTAATGAAATATGGAGATAACGAACAGTCATCATGCTCAAAAGTCAGTGAAACACTGCAAATCGGGAGCAGAGCAAACACGGACCTCTACAAAACATTAGTGGTGGGATCAGGTGCCATGGAGGAGTAAGCATTCCCTGTCGGACCCCCCCCCCCATTTGAAAAAAAGGAAGTTGCACATATTTTTTAAATAGCAAGACACTCATGCATTAGATTTTTGGATAAAGTTTCCCTGTTCTTAAATTACTAAAGAAGCTCAGAGAGACTGACTATTTGTCAAAATAACTGATACTTACAAATAAAGAATCAAAAGACAATCTAAAGAAAGGAAATGGTACTGTTGTTGAAATGTTTGATGTATAACCATCATCATTTGAGCGTAATTCACTGTCACCAGCAGCCAAACCAAAACGATAAAATTGATTAAGTGGGTAACAGTTAACGTTAACTGATTGACCGATGGCATATAGCATACAGAATACACGTACGACTGATTTTTTGACTAACATTATTTCAGTTTCATTCTCTTGAATCTTGTCCAGTGATTTGATTTTAACGGTTTTCTTCTTTTATGTAAACAGGCAGGACTGCTCAAACAAGGAAATCATTTTAAATATTAAGTGCGGTGGTTTAATATGTGTGTTTCAGACATGCTATTTTCACCAAATAATGTACAAAAATATATTACAAGTTGTATTTGATGTGAAAGTTTTCCATGATAAAAGATACTTCAAGATTCGATTTATTCATGTTGTAGATCTCAGGCAAGGTGTTTAAACGTAGAAACCCTCTACATACTGTGGTTATCGAGTGTATGTTGGCTAGACAAAATTGTATTAAAACAAATATACATTAAAGAGCTCACTGACGTGACACAAATTGTTGATTTTCCACGTCTTATAAAAATCAAAAGAAAACATCACACTTAATTTTTTTCAATTAAACACTTCTAGTCAAGTATCATATAAGTAATTACAGGGTTTAATTAAAGACGGATAAAAGCCTATGCGAAAAGAAAAAAAAACTACCGGTATAAAGTAAAAGAAAATGCGAAAGAAAATAACTCCCATGGCTGCGGAATGAACTGAAATATCAGTTGCAGAAAGTGTACAACCTACTAGTACTGCAATTTAAGGTACTTTTCATGTTCTTTTGTTCTTAACAAATTGTTAGCATGGAAATATTTATACCGAAATAAAAATATTTATATTGAAATAAAAAGTGTGTGCATTGTATTTAGATTTTAATGAAACCTTTTCATAATCGAGATCTGTGGATACAGAGATTTCGTAGTCTTTTTTCAATACACCTCATAGTTTTGCAGGTACTTTTGATTAAGTACATAAGTATTCGAATCGGATTTTGGACATCCCAAATTGAAAAACTAAAAATTAAAGGAGCTCTAAATAATACAAATACCAAATAAGGTCTTAAATGTTAATTTCAGATTCTTATGAGAATCTTAGCTAACAAAATTCTTATTTAAAGACCTCTCAAACAGCTTTCTTTATATGGAAAGTGACCTGTCTTACAAAAAAAATTCAATTCATTCATGACATTCTGCCACAACCTTTTCCAGAAACTGCTTAGTAAGATACATGTACTCAAAAGGGATAAAGATTATTGCACTTTCCAACCTTTCCTTCAAGAAAAAAGGACAACTTTATTTTCTTTCTTTTTTTTCTGCAGTATACACAGATACATACGTGAGTGCTTTTGAAATCTTTGAAGTTTGATAAATCGATCAGTGTTGTCTTTTTTATTTATACATGTATCTACATTTGGGCCTATTGTGTATATCACAAGTATTTCTTGTCTTAAAATTAAAAAAAAATTAAAAAAAAAGTCAGTTCCTTTTCTTACTTAAAAAAGAAAATCATGATAACCAAATCTTCTTATATCAAATATGAATTTAATTTATGCCGAATACAATTTCTAAAAATTTATGAAAAAAATATTAGACAGTTTGATGCTTGTGGATGGATGTAGAGTTTGATCTGTACTTGGTAAAAAAAAAAACCTTCATTTGTCATTTAATCATGACAGAGCTCGGGGCGGATGTGACCAGTATAATTAGAATGCCTTGTGGAAGTTGATTCTTTCTTTTTTTTTTTTTTTATATAACACTATGCATAATATTCTGTTTCAAAACACTACCTTTACTTGAAGATTTTGCTTCGCTTTTTGTTTAATGGTCAAGTTTTTTCTGTCCAAGTAACAGTCCAATTTTCAAAGATATTAGCACAGAGAAAGTAAAATACATATGCATGTATATCAGAATAATACTAATATTTGACTGTTACTTTCTAACGTCGGACGGACCAGTTTTTTTTCAAATGACAAGAGAATAGGAATGATGTCACACCGATTTCTTTTTATTGAAAATAACTTGGTACATGTATTTTTAGTGAGATATGAAAAACAATTAATTTTGGCAAAAACAATGTAACAACACGACCTTAAAGTTTGACTTTGAAGGCTCGATTCTCTATTTCTAAAAAAATGAGTAAACATATTAACAACACTAGTTCACACACACACTCACACCAACCCATAAAGATACACCCTCACTCCTCCCTCAAACATCCCCAGCCCCAGAGAGAGAGAGAGAGAATCCCTAATATGATGCCGAAAGCATATATTATTAAATAATACTTTTGGCTAAATAGTGTTTTTAAAAAAATATCCATTAATGTTTTGTGTCATCTATTTCACAAACATTAAAACTCTTTGGCAAATCTTCATGCATATAATGAATTTTGCTGGCCTGAAATGCTGAATTATCCGTGAAACGTTGTTTGTTTTCTGGAGTATTGCTCGAAATTGCATTAATTTTTCCTCTCGGTTTAGTCAAATTTGTGATTCTTTGCCATAACTGATTTATAAATCCTAAGAAATTAAAATAAGTAGAGAAACTTTGTGTCTGTTTTCTGAACGATGTCTTACTAGGCCCTAACGGTGTATCACTAAAGTAAATGACTCCGTTCATCTCACCTTCACTGTCTCTTTAATAAAAAGAAAGAATTTCATTTACTCAATAGGTACATATAAAAATGGTTAAGTAAATGAGTATGTCTTCACATAATGTAGATACAGTTATATACGCATTTCACATATGTACATGTATAACCGATACATTTAAAGAAATCTCCTTAATGTGTTAATTGATTTTTAATATTTTTTTTTCACACTCTTGTTCATTTATGAAATAAAAAAAAAGAAAAGAATTATCCATTCGTACCTTTTGGTTCTTTTCCACAGAAGTAGCAGAACCATGGCAAATACCAACAGCAGTAATCCTACCAATAATGGTATTAGATAGGAGATGTTAACTGGAAAGAGTCATTAGATGATAAATATTAAAAAAGAGTTTTTTTTAAATTGTAGGAACCGTTTTATAAAAGGGTCAATGAATTGCAACAGTCATATAATAAAGAATTCCATGGGTGGAATACATCCAACAAGACGTTTATCCAAACATTTTAGAACATTATGATAAAATCTAAAACTTACTCGATTGAAATTTGAAATGAACATCATTTTTTAAAAATTAAATTTATATTTATACGTACAATGTGAACAATCTCTCCCATAATATGCCGTATCACAAACACAAATGTAGTTATTAATTTCATCAATGCATAATCCATGCTGACATGGTGAGCTTGAACACTCGTCAATTTCTGTAATAAAAAAAAGAAATAAGGAGTACTAAAATCTAAAGAAATTCGCAGCCTTATCCATTTTCATTTGTATTTTGCAATGCACATTTATCATTTGTGTTTGTCCAGTTTCACCAAACGAAATTATTCAATGTAAATAGAAAAGGAATGTATGGAATTATAAATATACCTGTCTCACAGATGACTCCGGTATAACCAGGTATACACTCACAGGTGTATCCATTGACTTGGTCAGTACAATTACCGTGTATGCAGGGAGAACTGGCGCATTCGTCAATGTCTGTACAGAATGATGAAAAGGAAATAAACGTAAAATAATGCATGCAGTTTTCAATTCGGCGTATGAAAAAGGGAAGGAAATTTTAAAATACAAACCTATCTGACAATTGGTTCCGGTATACCCTGCATAACACTGGCATGTGTAGTGATTTACATGGTCAGAGCAGTTTCCATGGACACAGGGTGAACTTTGGCATTCATTGATATCTGTCAAATTCAATATAAAGTTTAGAACGATGACTAACTTATTGTCGACTTTTGTTGAGTATTATCATTTACAATTATTTTTTAACTAGATGTAATATAACGTCTTTTTTTTAGGAAACGTAGGGAATACAGACGAGAAAACAAAACGAAACAAGCTTTTAAATGGACACGCACTATTTCCATATATTTAACTGATATATTACTCACCTACTTCACAATGGATTCCAGAATATCCCGGCATGCAATTACACATGTACCCATTGATATGATCCGTACAGTTACCATAAACACAAGGAGAACTAGCACACTCGTTAATATCTTAAGAGAAATTGAAATTTCTATCATGCTGTTCTTTTTGACATATTGTACGGTAGTTATGCAGTTTAACAATAGAAAACAACTGGTAACAAACCTGTCTGACAGTTTATTCCTGTATATCCATCCTGACAATGGCAAGTATAATGATCAAGATGGTCAGAACAGTTTCCATGAATACATGGCGAGCTTTGGCATTCATCAATTTCTAACCAAAAGTCATTTTGAAAATCAATAAGTTTACTAATTAAGATCTCATGATATAATATGTAAAGAGCTAGGTTCACTCTATGCATAAAATGGCCCTGTAGTTATACCAATTTATTGACTAACACCTTATGTTCCATTTTAAACATCAAGATAAAGTAGAGACTAAATGCTTTCATTTCCTATTAAATTTTTACCCCTTAAAGTCCAGGTCTTGGAAAACAAGCTCTATGGAATTGCAATGTTCTTGAATTCTAAGGAAAAAGGTATATTTAAGTACTTTCAGAGAAAAAAAATAATATGAGCGCACCCTCTGATCTAAAAAATAAAACATGTTTTGTAATCCTCAGAAACGGTTCTATTAGTAAATAATTGCATATTTTAGATCAGAGATTGCGCTCTATATTAATTTTCGAAAAATAGCTTTAAAAATTGGCTGTTTTTGTAGAATTGTTCAGGATATGAGGAAAATGACGCATTTCATGACGTCATAATGCATTGACTAGCCAGAAAATTACGTCATTTTCGGTAGATTCGCAATCGCCAAATGTCTAAATGAAATTTAATGAATTGTCAACTAAAACTAAGCAGTTTCAGTTTTTCAGAAATTTACAGGGCCAAAAAAAGGCCCAAAGTGAACCTTGTTCTTTACACCAGAAAGGAAAAATGTGGCATTAACCAACGGAGGATATAAATATTCGTTTAAGATGAGCAAAACGGACGTAGAATAATACTGTTCTTGTTAAGGATTCCATTCATGCCAAATACTAAGAGATTCCCCAATAAAACAACACATATTTAAACTTTGCCTCTTTTAAATTTCTTTCGAAATAGGAAATACGGTCGAAGGTCAATCTTATCTATGAACAGATTCATATTCCATACAGATATCCAATTGGAAAATGTTAATATAGCACAGTAATACAGTTATTATTTGTAAACAACCTATTCTTTTGAAATCATAGTAAAAGTTTAGAAAGAATAGATAAGAATTATCGCCAGAGTAGATGTGCTGTTGGTCTTTTGACAATACATGAATAACTGAGCAATCAAGATATCACTCAACGTGTAAATCTATCTAATTCTTACCATTTTCACAGTTTACACCCGTGTAACCAGGGTCACAGATACATTCATAATACAGGTATTCATTTAAACAATTTCCATGAACACAGGGAGAACTGGCACATTCGTCGATGATATCTGCACAAAACATAGTATATACTAGGATTGTTCGGAAAGTTCGTGGACTTCTCTCATATCTTTTTTATTTAACGTCATATGTTATCCAAATTTAGTAGAAATATTTTAACAATAAATTTAAATGATTTGTATTAAATTTTTCAAAAATATCATGATTTATTTAAAACTTATTCAGAATTAAAGACTACAAAAATCGGATCGCTGCGCAAGTCAAACTTCCGTAATTTACAAACAATACACTAAATAATGTCTGTAGTCATCTTCTCTCTAAAATGGAGCAAAAACGAAAAAATCCTAGAGGGTTAAATTAAGAACTGTTACATCGATTCGTATTCCAAATTATGGCTTAATATTTTTTGCTTCGGTAAAAAGAAATCAATTTGAGAAGATAGGTAGTCCTCATTGAAAACGACAAAAACGATGACGTTGTAGAACGTCACGGAGCAGCAGATAATGATGCAGTTTTGTGTTATACTCGGGGAAAACTCTGAATAAACGCTAAAAATGTTGAAGGAATCAGAAAATATGCCACAAGCGAGTAGTGCATGTGTGTGTAAATGGTAGAGGCGGTATTTGAGTGACAGAGACTCTGTATCGGACGAGGACAATCTGTGAAGAAATGGTTTAACTGTAAAAATCTGAACGAAAACTTTTAAAAGTTGGGACGTCATGGAAAGACGTAGGCGCTTCAGAGTTGCTGATTTTGTGAAAACACAGCTAAGCGGTAAAAGAAATTAAACATTAACAAAGGAAATTATAAAATCAGGAAAAAATGTTAGTGAAAAAAGTGAATGATTGAAAAAGGTTTTTAATACGTGGGTATTGGACTATACTGTGTGAATGTATAGGGATAGAATTTTTAAGAAACTCTTGACGCTATGTTTTTGACGTTACATTGCTTTTAAGTGTGCGCCGTGGTTACAAAACATGTTGACTTTGAAATGAAGTAAATTAATTTCTATCAAATCGAATGGATTAAAATTTCACAGATCAACAAAACAAATATTTTTACACATGATATTGTGCTTATTTTAAATTTCTTGGAAGTAGTATAACAAAGATTGACATCGTCCACGAACTTTTCGAACAACCCTAAACGTACACTAAAAAAAGGCGGCGTTATTTTCTTGAACAATTGGAATTTATATATAGGCAGAATAATAAATTGAAAAAAGAAGTTTATAAGAGAACAAACCTGCATTAGTAATTTTAGCTTGATCTACTCTAAATACAAACTGTCCAGGAATTCCAATATTAGACATCTGAGGAAGATTTAACACAGCGTCTGTCATTGACCCGGGAACGGCATAATAATTCTCTCCATCACCAGCATTAAACCCGACCTTCGAGGAGGGAACGTAAATAATTAGATTACTATACATAAGTATGTGGTATGCGATATTCTTAGAGTGAAAGAGACACAAATATGTTAAACTATATCACGTCATAATTACATTTGTATACTAATTAAAGGTTCTGTTACCTGAGCAGATTTTGTCCAAGTGATTTTGTTGTAATTAAATACAACAAATGAATGAACACCATTGTTGATTAAAACAAGTTGAAATGTGTTCCTCTGTTATGATAGATTACAAAATAATAAATAATGCAATACAAGACATTTGCTTGCTTAAACACATAGATACATTTTTTATGAATTGATTTAATTGAAATATTTGGAAAGAAATCGACATTATTATTCATAGTCGTATAATATCCGTATTTATGAAGACAGTGTATAACTTTAAATAAAATAAATAACTTTAAATACTACAATGCTACCTGTTGACAATTTATTGTTCCGGTGGGAGAACAGCTATACGCAGCTACATCTTCCCATGTAATTATCATCATCCACGTGGCAGTGAAAGTTAAAATGTCAGGAAAGAGAGAGTTGATTTTAGTCGTCCCTCTTTGTAATATCGTGGAGTCTGTGGTTGTGCGATACCATAATTTACCTCCTTTGCTTGTGTCTATATCAGTCCAAAATGGTGCTATGATTCTATGACTTCCACTTATTGGAAAGGGCTGTGAAGTATACTGTCTTAATGGAGTCTCAAACGTAGTGTCCCCGTTGTTATTAACCTAATAAGTAATACTGATTTGAGGTAAACTTGATCTTCACGGACATAATATCATAAATTTTCAAAAGGGTCTCCATAAAATTAATGACTAAAAGAACAGCATCATTCATTCTGTGAGAAATTACCTATACTTACGTAAATTGAATTATATGATGACCCAAAGAAAGGAAATGACACAGCTATAGGAATACTAGAAGTGGAGTCATCGTCATTTGCAGGCAATTCGTTGTCTCCGGCAGCTAGACCAAAACTATAGAACTGACTCAGTGGGTAGGAGATACAAATGTTTAGCATTGCTGATAATATTACTACAATTAAGGTTGGGTAAGACATTGTTGAAGATCTTAACTTGGACTAATTTGGATCTATAGATTCGTGGCATTTATGTAGAAAATCAGGAAAGTCTACAACAAGGAAGACTTAAAGAACAACCAATGCCATTAAGTTTACACAAACTACAGCAATGTTACATTAAATATCGCAAAAAAAGCATGACACTTTTCCATAGTATTTCCGTGTAAAGGTGCTAAATAAATTTATCAATTTTGATATTTTTTTGACAATATGTCCATGTCTAAAACTGTCCTCCTTGTCTTATCGTTAAACGGTCACGAGAGAATGGTAGATTGTCAAGAGGAAAATAAATCATAATGTAACAGCTGTCGAATCAAGACTGCAAACTGATAAGTATATTAGACATGCGTTTTAGAAATCTACTCTCTTGTACTCTTTCACCCAAGTAAAAAAACATTTTTTATAGATGGCTGGCTGGCTGGCTAGCTAGCTAGATAGATGGATAGATAGAACTATCGAACTGTGGAATCTAACTCATTAACATACCACTCAACCAAGGTGAGTTCAATCTACCCTACCTATACTAGATTCCATAAATTCATAAAAATCCTTATAACTACAGAAACATTGACGGGTCCAGCAAATGCTCTACCTATCTTCACCACTCAACAAAATATTTACTGTAGTGAAAGAGAATCTTCAAACGTACTGTGTTACAGCATATTCTAGAAGTGGTATATATATATATATATATATATATATATATATATATATATATATATATATATATATATATATATATATATATATATATATATATATATATATAGAAAGCACTACAAAAACCAGCAACACTGTATATCCTAAGTGTCGGATCTACTAAATAGACACAAGGTCAAGGATTGAAATTTATATTTATGTTCTTATTCGTGCCACTCAAACGAACATAAATAATTTATAAAATAAACACAAACACGTATATTAGGATGTGAAGCGCTCTGATAGTGCAGTTTACTTTTTTCGAAAGACAAAGAAGAGCTAGCGATAAAGGGAATGACTTGTATATAAACTTTAAATACCTAAGTTTTGGGTTACAAATAATTTTTCCTGAATATTTTCTTTCACATAGCCGTCTTTAGCTTTTTCTGACCTCCACCGCCCATGCTTTTTAAACAATCTATCACTAATACCAGCCGCTGCAGCGGAAGTGGCCCCGCCTGACCGTAGGCTATGAAGACCAAATTTACTCTTATCTAACCCTATTTCTCCAAAAGCATCTAAAACAATTTCTCGTGTTCTAGTATAAGACAAAGGCCGATTATCTCTTCTAACTTTATATGTATTTGTATTTTTACAGAACGTCAAAGATCTGAATAAATATTCTGATGAATCAACTTCAGCATCTAACAATTTTATATATTCTTCTAACATATGTACAGGACAAGTATCACCATGAGTTCTAGCAATACACAACTCGTGACCTTCCTTATAAATATCCGTTTTACTTTTGACAATGTTAATTTTCATACACACATCATCAAATGATATATCATTAAGTCTAATATTTGCGAGCTCCGAAAATCTGAGGAACCCTGCGAAACCTAACAAACACAAACATAAAGTACGCATATTATATAAATTATTCGATTTGTATCTCTGAACCGATAATTTCAAATGATCTGGTGTGATTGGTTCCTTTTTCACAACAGGCTTGGAAGTCTCTCTTATTGCACCCTCCTTTGTTAATTTCACTAAAGCAGATTCACATGGATCTTTTAATCCTGCTAGCTGATGGGCCCAGCTTATGGAATGTGTAGCTAATTGAATTTTGCTTGATGATTTGCAATCTTTAGCGATAGAGATTATATATAGAGCCACATGTTCATCCGTTGCGGGTAATGCAGAAATAGAAGACAGAAAAGCGCCGCACCATCGACAGAAAGCATTGAATGCGTACCTGTATTGACTTAATGTATTCCCTGCTCTTGATTTAAGGCAGTATGTTGGTAAAAGGTCCCTTAGTTGCTGTAACCGCTGATCTTCGATCCTTGCACTATCTGACCACCGTCCCGTTTTAAATATATCTGAAAAATGTATATAACGGAATACAAAGATTAATTTGAAACTAGTACAATGGTCATGGTGTATCAGGATTCTCAATCAACTGCAATACACCGACTAAATAGATGTATCAGGACCATATATCAACTGCAATACATCTAACCAATACAAACAATCTGGTGTACCAGGGCCCCAGCTCATCTGCAATACACCTCAAAACGTATCTACAGGTAACTCTTGATGGCTCGAACTTCGATCTCTCGAAGTTCTTGATCGCTCGAAGTGAGTCTCCGGTCCCGAATTTTCCCACTATATAACTAAGCAAATTTACTCTTGATTTCTCGAACTCTTGATCTCTCGAAACCCTTGATCACTCGAAGTCAAAATGCAGTCCCGTTATGCATATTCTATTAGTATTTACCCTCGATACCTCGAAGTGGCTATGTGTATACAAGATTATATAATTAGCACCTTTACCTGGACATTTAAATGGCCCCAGGCAGAAGACGCAGGTCTCGAGATACGGGATGTTTATTCAGGTGACACTTATGCTGCAAGGTGATAATTGATTTATAATCATATTTTGCCCATATGCTATTAAAATAATTATCATCGACTGTCTTACGATAATTTAGAGACGCAGTGTCATTGATTAAAAGAAAAAACACTAATTTAATTTTTATTTCGGGTCAGTGTCAAAGTTAAACGAAATATGAAAAAAGCAGAAACAGCCTCAGTCAGTATGACGACTATTATTGGACAAATACTTACAGAACTGCGTTCAATGATCATTTTTGGAATAGTCAAAGCTACCGGTATGTACGACGCTGTAAAATGTCGTTTTCATGTAACGAATGCGTAGTATGATGTCCGTATTACAAAGAATAAATAAATATACATGAAATGACGATATATATATTTTGCATTACTCAGTTTAATGAAATATTCATCTGAATTACGAAAAAGTATCGTTGTTTTATAAAAACCACGTGTAAAAGGTTAGCACTGCATGAAAATCATTACAACCGGTAAGACTAATTTTAAAACCTGTCAACAAACCCGGAAAATTCCGGACTCTTGAAAACTCGAACTCTTGATCTCTCGAAGTTTTTCCTCGGTCCCGCGGACTTCGAGGTATCGAGAGTTACCTGTACATAATTATACATGCTGAACTCGACATGAGTTTATCAACAGACTTGAGCGTTCTATTTTTAAAACCTTGCGTCTAACTTTACTGCCAGTATCCCAGAAGTGAAATTTGTTGACCCAAACAAACATGCTTTGTTATCACCCTGAATAAGTATATCTGTACATTCATTGAATAGTAAAGCATCTTTAACGTACCATCTATACGTCATATCTTTATCAAAAATAAACGGCCAAAAAACAGCGGAGGGCCAGTTTGGAACAATTAGGACCCCGAAAGCTTTACAGGCTATTAGATGTTTTATAGCGCGAACTACTAAGTGAATAGGGGGTACTAACCAATTGTTTTCATGTTCCCAGTTTTGTGTAAAACAGTCAATAGCTTCCGAGCCAGGATTCCAAAACTTTGAATTATACCGCCCCAACTTACAATTATTATAATTTGCAAATCTGTCAACAGTAAAAGTTCCGAACAAATTGTTAACGAATTCAAAAAATGTTGCAGTAACACCCCAATCATCGTGATCTATGATATTACTTAGAAAATCAGCTTTATCATTTTCTAGTCTGGGAATCCATTGTATGTCAATTGAAATTTTTTGTTCTACACACATCTTGAAAATATTGTAAGCAAGAGATTGTAAATGATGTTTCATACTGCCAGACTGAACAATTTTTACACAGCTCTGATTATCAGTGAACCATTTTACTTCTTTATTCACTAAACTATCTTTAAATGAAGCTAAAGCTAATTCAATCGCTCGAAGCTCTCTCCAAGTAGAGCTCATACCCTTCTCAAACTCTTTCCACATTAAGTGAAAAATTTTTGAATCAACTTCAACAGTGTAAGCTCCTGACGCTAGACTACTGGCATCGGAGTAAATGATGACACTTTTCTTTGTCGGTATGTGTAAATACCTTGTTTTTTCTGAGTAAATACATTGTAACCAAAAATTACATTCATTTAGAACCTCGTTCTTGTGTGTAAATACAATAATATCGTCCCATGACTTTCTACATGCTATCTCTATAGAACAGAATCTGGTCATTATACTACATATGTTACCCATTACTGGTGACATTGACATAATCTTTCCGACCACTCTTGCCAACTCTCTGGCCGTCACTTTAGGAAAACTCTTCACTAGTTTCTGCAAACAAGCAACTGTGTCGTCAAGACGTCTTGTGGGCACTGAAATAGAAAATGACTTTGAATCCCAAGAAATTCCTAACCATTCTAAATTCTGGGTAGGGTAAAATACAGATTTTTCAAAATTAATAAGTAGCCCAAATTCTGACAAACTCTTTTGAATGAATTCAGAAACTGAAAAACATTCCTGTTTCGATGGGGCAAACACAAAACCGTCATCTAGGTAAAGTACTATTTTTATACCCCTCTTTCTCCAGAATTTAACAATAGGTCTTAGACATTTTGTAAAAATGAATGGAGCGGATGACAAACCAAACGGGAGCACGGTATAACAGTAATACTTGTCGTTCCATGAGAACCCGAGGTATGTCTGGAAACTTTCAGAAATATCTATATGATGATAGCCAGATTTGAGATCGAATTTTAGACAATAACAATCTTTTTCAAAATAATCTAGGACTGTTTTCCAATCTTCAAACTTTATTTTCTCATATTTCACATAATTATTAAGTCGACTCAAATCTAGTATCAATCTCTTTTTCGACCTGTTTTCCGCGACGCTGAGGGGACTTACAATGTATGGTCTGTATGTAACTTCTACAACACAACCTGTCTTAATTAATTGGGATATTTCTGATGTGACAAAGTCAGCGTTAATTCTTGCAGATTTGTTATTTCGAAAAATCATAGACGGTGGAACGGAAATAAAAGGAATTTCGTAACCAGAATGTATGACTTTCAAAATATAAGTAAAAGCCCCAATTTCTTCCCATTTACTGTAATGTCTTTTTAAACTGTGTTTTATGCTACTTTCTGTTTTACTCTTTTGAATCTTTTCGTGAACACAAGTCAAACAACCTGTATACTTATCATTGACTTTGAGTGGTCTTTCCCTTTGGGCAGTTGGACTTCCAGTGCCCTGTTGCAAAACAGTTGAAACAAACGTCGTACGGCATAGGCTGTCTCCTTGACTGCTTGTTTCTGCCCTGGCCGTAGAGAAATGGCTGTTGCTGCTGCTGTTGAAATGCAGGAAAGGGCTGAAAAGTACTAGAAACCAAAGGAAAAGCCAGTTGAGCTGGAGATCCCGCTGCTGCCGCTGGTGGTGTTTTTTGTGTCCCATAAGGCTGAAATCTCTTGTTTTGTTTCTGATGTCTAAGGGCCCTGTTTTCGGCGCTGCAAATCTTCTTTTCGTCATCAGAGTTGTCTGCGATCTCGTTACTCTGGTATTCGTTGACGGTTTTCCAACCGGCCGGAGACGAATCAGCTATCCGTATATACTTCTGACGCGCTTTTAATTTTTTATTTAAGTCGGAAATAATTTTCAATGATTCAGAATCCTTCAAGTCAAAGGCTCTTGACTCCAGCTTCTCTAAGCCCTCTAACAATTCGGCATTAAATTGGAACTGAATTCGGTTACCTTCGGACTTTATCTTGTGCAGAGAATTTTCTTTGAGTTTCTTCGAAATAGATTCGGACTGTTCCGCTTTTAACTGCCCCGAGAAAGTTTTGAATTGAGACTGTATTACTCCCGTGAAGAGTTTAACAATGTCCGAGATTTCTAATGAAGAAGTCCCTCCTGTGCTGTCTTTTGGTAATTTATGTGTATCTAAAGTCAGCTCATCGCCCGAATCGCCCATATTACGTGGAAATAGAGAGTGGCAAAAAGACGTGTTATCTGCACTGAAAAGAGCCTTCGAATGGCTATAGAACTTTCGGCGCTAACAGCGGTCAGTTAAAACCCGTGCAATGAATATTTAAATTTAAATGTCACCTGACAAGGTGACCAGTATTGCAGCCAATAGATTGCAGATATAAATACACACGAACACGTGTTATTAAAACCTTTGATAAATACATAAAACAGTGCAAATGACCAACGACACGAACAATAGAAATTGACGCCCTGTCCCTTCCTCAGGACAAAGAAAAAAGTTAAGAAGTCATAAAAACAAAGGAAATAGAAAAACAAAAAAGGCTACCACTACTACTAAACTACCAAACACTATTTATTTACAATGTTACATGTTGAATTTGAATTTTATAATCAGTTGTTAAGAAATAAATCCGGACTGCTATGAAATACGTCCGGTCTCTCGGGTGTACTCTGGTGAAGTGCGATTTACATAATTGAACGAATTAATTATCGCTAATTAATTACGATCAAGCAGTAAATCGTTCACTGTCTTATTCTCTCAAAATAGCTTAACTTTACATAATAAAAAGAAACCAAAGAAAGATAATTTAGATGTATTATAAATGTAATTTGGAAATGTTATAGGACTGTTTATCGGATAAAAGAAATAATAAACAAAAATGTAAGCAAAAAATCTATGCGTGGGTTGTTCCAAAATTGATAAAGCGAATTACCGGTAAAGTTAACACTATATAGAGAAAATAAACTTGTTTGTTACAGTCGGGAATTGGGTCTAGTTCACGTTCATCCTGGTGAAGTCATTTAGTTTGTTGATACCATTAGGGCGGAATGACTTCAGTTTGTGCATCCAGAACTTTTCCTTGCTTTTTCTCTGAGCATCGGTCCAATTCGGATTATGGTCAATAACCACTACTTTCATGTCCTCCCATTTGTGACCTTCAAGGTTAAAATGTTCCCCAACGGGTTCATTGAGTTTTTTGGTCTTAATGGTCGAACGGTGATTATTGATTCTCCTGTGGATATCTCCCGTTTCCCCAACGTAATGTTTGGAACAAACTTTACAACTGATGAGATATATGCAGTTTTCTGTTTGACAAGACAAATTCCCTAGAATTTTGTAGCTGCGGCCTGTAACGGGGCTTTTAAAGCTGTCTGTGTCAGAGTTGTGCTTACAGAGAAGACATCTTCTGTCAGAGCAAGCTCGAAAGCCTCCGTTAGGTAATGGATTGTCCAATCTGGTTCTAACTACCATATCCTTTAAGTTCCTCGGGCGCCTGTAGGCAGCCAATGGAGGTTCCTTAAAGACCTCTGCCATTCTTTTGTTAGAGTGGAGAATTGGCAGGTTCTTTTTAAGAAAACCGCTGTGGTTCTTAAGGACGGGATGGTATGTGGTTACCAGAGGGACCTTGCTGCTATTTTTTTCTCCTTGTAGAGTAAGAGGTTTTGTCTGTCGTGTCCTGCCATCTCATCAATAGCAGTTTGTACGTTGTGGGCTTTGTAGCCTCTATTGCATAAATGGGACTTTAGGAGACTGAGACTGCTCTGTTCCTGATATAAGGCAGGGGATGAACAGATGCGACGAATTCTGGTAGCCAGACCCTTAGACACACCCTTGAATGTGTGGGGGATGACAGCTAGTCGGCATGAGATATAGGTGGGAATCGGTGACTAAACTCGATTTCGCTATCAATCAAGGTAGATATTTTGGAATTAGATACGTCTACAGTAAATTTGATAGACTGATGGAAGGTGTTGGCAAACGAAATGAATGCTTCGAGGCTCTCGCCGCATTCCACCCACTTCATCTCTATATCGTCAATGAAACGCAACCAGCTAAGGGGCCTAACAAGTTGCGTTCAAGTCTGCCCATGAAAATATTGGCATAAGATGAGGCCATTCTCGTACCCATAGCAGTGCCATTAACCTGCAGGTAATGTTCTCCATTAAACATATTGTTACATTTAAGAACATGTTCAAGGAGCTTGGTAAGGGACTCAGTGGAAGGAGTTTGTATTGATCTACTGTCCCAGACTTCTCTACAGGCCTCAACATCGTGCGGAATGTTGGTGTACAAAGATGTAACGTCCATAGTCACGAGAAGGGTATGATCTGGAAGACAAGTCGAGGGCACTTGTTGATATAGTCTGTGGTGTCCTTGAAATAGGATGGCAAATTTTCTACATGTGGACGGAGATGCAAATCAATGTATTCAGAAATTTTCTCCGTGGGTTGTCTGATTGCACTAACTATAGGGCGACCTGGCATGCCTTCTTTATGTATCTTAGGAAGCAGGTAAAATTGTCCTGGTCTACAGTCAATAGGATTGAGTGTCTCATAGACGTTTATACCAATCTCGTTATTTTCAAACATTTCATCGAGAGTTTTGGTGATAGCGGTGGAGAATTCTTTAGTAGAGTCAGAGTCAAGTTTCTTATAGAAACGTTCGTCTGAGAGTTGTCTATGGGTCTGCCATGTACGTCTCTGTCAAGTACTACTATTGTACAGCCTTTGTCTGTTTTCTTGATCACGATGTCATCCCGATTCTTTAATGATTGTAAGGCGGATCTCTCTTCCTTACTTAAATTGTCGGGGGCATTGTCTGGCATGGAAAGGAGTATCTCAATGTCTGATTCAACGGCGTCAATATACGAATCAAGGGCTCCGCATTTGCCTGGTGCAGGTTCCCAGTTGCTTTTGGGCCGATAGAGTTTGTGTTTCTCTAAGTCGTACAATTGTGGCTGGGAAGAGTCGTATGAATGATCATCGGAGTCTTTTCTAGGGAAGTGCTCCTTCAGTCGAAGTCTCCGAAAAAATGTTCGGGTGTCCTCTCTGACTTGTTTTTCGTCGACCTCATGTGGCGTGGGACAGAAATTCAGCCCCTTAGAAAGAAGTGAGGTCTCCGACTCGAAGAGAGGAACACTAGATTTATTGAGCACTGGACAGATATCAAGTGTTTGTAAGGGTCTGTCCCCCGTGATTGTCATTTGCGCTTGAAGCGTCTAGAGCGGGGTTTACGTGATTGGTTAACTCTGACCTCTGACCGGTCGTTTCTGGTCTGTGGAACATTGTCTCAGAGAAATTTCTTCTTTTGAGTATTGTTGAGATCTTTAGTTAGGGCCATATTGTAGGTGGCAATAATATTATGGGCTTCATCAAGGTTACCTTGGGACATGCTATCAGTGAGGGATGATTCTAAGGACGTGATATCACTCTCAAATTGTCCTAACTTGTGAATATCCCAAGAAAGACAGAGTGACATCAATTGTGTAGAACACCTCCTTGTGATACATTCCCAGCGTTCTTGAAAGCGTTTGGAGATTGGCCCTATGTTAGGCGTGGCATTAATCTGGAAACCTTTAGGTATAATGTCACACTTTAAGTAGGTCTGTAAATTTGAAACACGGTGTTTAGTTATGATTGATTTTTTGGTGTTTTTTCTTCAGTAGTTTGAATGTTGGATTACTTTCTATTGACATGTTGAAAAGGTAATAAAAAGCTGATTGCCTATACCATGAGAGTAATGATTAAAAATGAATTCGTGTGAAGTCGAAAGAATCGACGAACGATTGAACTCAATTTCGTAACATAATTTCCGGAGATAAATCGTACATAAATTCAAAAATTGATACACAAATGCAGTGAAGAGAAGAATAAAAAAAACTAATTTGCAAGGGTGAGGTATAAAATAAGAGGCAAGAAAAACAAATGAAGATTGAAATAAACAAATACAGAAACAAATGACAGGCACAGAAAAAAAGAACAGAGACAAAACGGATATACGGTTGGATCTTGGAAGATACAGTTGGCGAAAAAAGATTTATAGAAAGCACTACAAAAACCAAAAACTCTCGATGAAATGTTTGAAAATAACGAGATTGGTATAAACGTCTATGAGACACTCAATCCTATTGACTGTAGACCAGGACAATTTTACCTGCTTCCTAAGATACATAAAGAAGGCATGCCAGGTCGCCCTATAGTTAGTGCAATCAGACAACCCACGGAGAAAATTTCTGAATACATTGATTTGCATCTCCGTCCACATGTAGAAAATTTGCCATCCTATTTCAAGGACACCACAGACTATATCAACAAGTGCCCTCGACTTGTCTTCCAGATCATACCCTTCTCGTGACTATGGACGTTACATCTTTGTACACCAACATTCCGCACGATGTTGAGGCCTGTAGAGAAGTCTGGGACAGTAGATCAATACAAACTCCTTCCACTGAGTCCCTTACCAAGCTCCTTGAACATGTTCTTAAATGTAACAATATGTTTAATGGAGAACATTACCTGCAGGTTAATGGCACTGCTATGGGTACGAGAATGGCCTCATCTTATGCCAATATTTTCATGGGCAGACTTGAACGCAACTTGTTAGGCCCCTTAGCTGGTTGCGTTTCATTGACGATATAGAGATGAAGTGGGTGGAATGCGGCGAGAGCCTCGAAGCATTCATTTCGTTTGCCAACACCTTCCATCAGTCTATCAAATTTACTGTAGACGTATCTAATTCCAAAATATCTACCTTGATTGATAGCGAAATCGAGTTTAGTCACCGATTCCCACCTATATCTCATGCCGACTAGCTGTCATCCCCCACACATTCAAGGGTGTGTCTAAGGGTCTGGCTACCAGAATTCGTCGCATCTGTTCATCCCCTGCCTTATATCAGGAACAGAGCAGTCTCAGTCTCCTAAAGTCCCATTTATGCAATAGAGGCTACAAAGCCCACAACGTACAAACTGCTATTGATGAGATGGCAGGACACGACAGACAAAACCTCTTACTCTACAAGGAGAAAAAAATAGCAGCAAGGTCCCTCTGGTAACCACATACCATCCCGTCCTTAAGAACCACAGCGGTTTTCTTAAAAAGAACCTGCCAATTCTCCACTCTAACAAAAGAATGGCAGAGGTCTTTAAGGAACCTCCATTGGCTGCCTACAGGCGCCCGAGGAACTTAAAGGACATGGTAGTT